TCTTGTAAGTGAAGCAAAATATGTGTTCTAAAAACACAAAGCAAGTGATTTTCATATATAAGAACATGCTCATATTTGCATGAAAATATGTATGGAGTAGTGCAATGTGGTCTTTGTGTTGTAAGGACAATTATAATTATCAACACTTTTCTTACAAATCACAAACAGGTTCTTTTATTTATGGATCCCAATTGATTCAGATACAATCATTACAACGTGATGGGTACAAGAAATCGCGGGGTGACGTTAACTTGGCGCGTGACAATAAGTATTTTCTATACACGTGATAAAATCTAACTTAACCTAACTTAAACCTAGCTTAATACTAAGGAAAATATAAGAAGGATAGGATAGCAAGAAGGAAAATAGAAGGAAGAAGCAACTTCACCCGGGACTTTCCTCGTTTTTTCCGATATGATTTTTCGCTCTAGGTCGGATCGTTTTTATTTTTCGCTCTCTTTCCAACTCTTACTGTGTTCTCGGATCTACTTCCTTGGTGAAGCAAAATGTCTTCAGTTTTTCTATCGTTGGGCCTTCAGCCGTGGGGACTCTGATTCTCTCCAGTCCGTCGCTTGACCCTCCCGAGAAGTCTCTCTTTCTTCGGCTCTCAGTCAAGTCCGGAGTTCACCTCAACACGTCTTATTCTCTCCGTGTCTCCCTCGATTCTGTCCCTTCTTACCTCCTCAGTCCCCTCTACACACCCTTCTTTGTTCTTCTCTCTCAGAGGGGTGTAATTTCCTGCACTATTGTTCTTTGCGATTCACAGAATCGCTAATCCCCCCTAAAGGCTATAACAGTCATGGAATGTTCTAGAATGAACACACAAAGAAATCGAAGAAATAGGGAAAGAATATCAAAACTAAAAATATGTATATACCAATAATAATAAAATAAACGTATTCCGATATGGCCACCGGCCACACTACTACCTTTGATGTGTTGATTTTTGGTATTTGTGGTCTTTGTGTGGGATCTGTGCCTGTATATTTAGTGAGTGTTTCCTGAAATATAAGTGAGAATGTATTAACTAATTCTATGTCTACGTTATCAGTGATGAATGAGGAAGTGTCTGTAGTATCATTAGTGGTAGTTGTTGTATGTGTGCTATTATCAATGCTTGTTGCTGGATTATCCTGACAGGTTACATGATCTTCATTAATGTTAAATGTTTCTGTCTGTTGATGTATTTGATCAGCAACCTGTTGTTTGATAAGTTCAAGTGTTGGTTGTGGGATAAGGTTGTTGTGTATAATTGTTCTGTTTTGATCAACAGCCCTTTGTTCGGTGACAGTGAGGTGAGGATATTGTTGTGTGAATCTATGGTGTAGTTGTTGTCTGTATGCTGTCATGTTTGTTTCGAGTTTTGTGATGGTGTAGTAAGTACGGATGATAAACTCGTTCATGTCTGTTGTCCATTTCATCTGTTGGCAGGGTTTACCAGCTTTTGTGGTCTGTGGATGCATTACCACAGAAACAATAAGGCTAGGTTGATTCCTCACATCTGTTGAGCGCATTGCAGTAGCCATGCTTGGGCCAGCGCTGCTTTTGCCACCGGTAACCAAGGGAGACTGTGGCCTATTGCTCGAATGTGAGCCTCTGGCTAACCCACAAATGTGGACCTTGTTTACCGAGGCGATGTCCGAGCTGGTATCACACTTAGATCTGGTTACTATCATGATAAATATCTCTACAGAATGTGGGTGTGGTCACTCTTAGCTTCATTTTTTTTATTTCTTCCCATAGACCTTACTGGCATGGGTGTCCCTACCAGGAGCTTGTGCTCCAGCCTACATTGCCTTATGGATCAGTAAAATTACTGGGCTCTCCCACCACGACCAGGTTGTAACCACGGGAGAGTTGTTATTATTATTATTATCAACCCATCTTGATGATATTTTAAGATT